TGGGCAACCCCGGGTCCCGCCTTCCCTAGCCCCCAGCTCCCAGGAGACACCAGGCTTCGGCAGGGCTGGCGCCCGCTGTCCCCTCACAGCCTCTGATCACCGAGTCCAGCCCAGAGCGGGAGCAGCGGGTGAGCCGGCAGGTGCCATGTACACTGTGGGTCTGGTAGGAAGGGTCTGACACTCCCCTGCCAGCCGGTTCAGTGTCGCCCAGACCCAAGCCTCCCAGACACAGCCTAAGGCTGTGAGGTCACACTCATCCCATATATAGACCACTCATCGGACCTCCCACTAACACCAACAACCTTCTGGTCTACACCATGTGCACCCCGAAACCCCTCCCCCCAGCGCTGCACAGTGACCAGGAAGGGCTCCCCGGCCTTTACAGCAGCCGCCGCTGCCACCAGGAGCCGGGGCAGGAGCCGCAGCCCGGGCCCCTGGGGTGAGGTCCCGGTTGGTTATTAACAGCATCGCCACCGGGACCTGAGGTGCTCCCGCCTGAGCTAAAACCACGGCTCCACCCCATCCCGCCTTCAGAACGTCTCTGACCAGGACTCAGCCCCGTGTCCAGTGTGATGCTCAGCTAAGGGGTCCCTGGGACTTAAGCACGAAAGCCCGACTCCCCCTCCGGCCAATGACAGTGACTCCTGCCACCGACCTCTCTCTCTCAGTTGAAGGCACCTCCATCGTCCTCCCTGCTAAAGCAAAAATAAATAAAACAAAACCCCTGGAGTCATCCCCGACTCTCCCCTTCCTCTCACTCACCCTTCACAGCAGAAAGCCCAGTCCCCCACTTAAGGAACAGATGCAAAATCCACCAACTTGTGCCCTGTCCCAGCCACCAGCCCACCCGGGGACATTGCGGGAGGTCCCTCCCCGCAGCCACAGGGGGCCTGGGCCTGTGAAGCTGGGCGTCAGGTCACCTCTCACACCTTCCAGAAGTCGCCACCCTCAGAAACAGTCCAGCCCGCGGCCTGCCCCTCCTGCCCGCCTCCCAGCCCTGTTCCCCGGGGCATCACGCAGACCTGGGGTTCTCTGGGGACTCCCCCGCGATCTTCCCTCGGAGCATTTGCTGCTCCTGGACCTGACACCCGCCCCGCCCCTCCAGTCCTCACTCTCTCAACTGCCAAGAGTAGGAGCCTCTCCAGGTAACCCCAGGCCTAGACTCAGAACCCTGGGCTGGAGATGAGCCCCTTGTAGGGGGCTCCCAGGGTCAAGCGCAGAGAGAGGAGCAAGCGGAGAGTCCCCCTAGAAAATCGGGGGGGGGGAGGGGCCCCTGCTCTACAAACACACACAGCCCTGGCCCGGG